GTTGGTGCTAGTGTCGATGTCGGTAAGAGACATATTGGTGCTGACGTTGGCGCACAAGTTGCCGCTGACGTCTTAGGCCTTGTTGGTGTTGACGTTGGAGCCGGTGTTGGTGTTGATGTTGGCAAGAGAAGTCTTGACATTGAACAAAATCTTGGATATGGATTATTTGATGTTCTTAGACAAAGTTTGAACAACGTTGGTCAAAGTGTTATGAAAACTTTCAGTGGTAATGTACCTCAAGCCTCCTTCAGCGTTTCTGATGTTGCTTGGGTCAAGGATGACTTGTTTAAGGTTACCATTAATTTTGAAACTATCGAATCGGCTAAGCTTTTCGCTAAGTTCCAAGATGAATTAAGTGATCTCAAGCTTGAAAACACTGGAGTTGAAGACGAAATACTTATGTGGGACGGTAGTTCTCACAGTAAGATCGATAACTTCTCCAAATGGTCCTCTACAGTTTTAGTCAAAGCATCCAAGCACAATGACCTTTACTGTCTTCCAGATGACTTTGCCATCAAGTTTAACTGGAATGCCAGGGACACTAGCGAATTACATGCCCAATGGAGCAAGTACTTCGACACCACATACGAATATACCTTATCAAAGGATTTCGGAACTTCTTTAACTTCGACAAAGAACATTAAGATCGAAAGAAGATGTATGGAATCCTCATCAAACAGCACCTCAATTGCTGATGCCAACTATGATGTTGGAGTTTTGGAACAATGGCAAGCCAGTTCCAATGTGCTTCCAAACTTCTGTTGGACTAAGCATTGCTCCGCTTAATTTTTTGGTCATAGAAAGTCGAGAGCTAATAATCAAGTTATTACCCCAACCAATAACTCATAGGTTCAGTTTGTCGGTGTTATTTCGTTTCACATTAAATGATTTTGTGTTTATATGCTAACATTATTCACCAGTTTAGTTAGTTAGTTAGAATTAATTATAGTATATATGTACAAATGTCATAAGATTTCAGTTTAGTTGAGTCGTCGAATGTGTACTTTTGTCTTCGGGGTTCAGCATTGTTTCGACTATCTTGAATTATGATTTAAGTATGGGAGGTTTTGAATTTTTATGGATGATGTTTCATATCCTACGTGTCAAGGTTTCTATAATTTTCTCAATACACAATATCTTATCGTTTACTCTTTGTTTGGCCAAGCCGAGAGTGTATTTTGACAACTAGTTTGCCGGGCCTATTTTGTTAGGGACCATTACGTGGGTGTGATCAACTATGATTGAAGTTCCAGGTGAGAACTGGCACTCATTTCTGCCAATTCGTGGTTTTCGGGTGAGATGTTAGAGGAGGTCGCTGTTGCGGACGAGGCGCCCACCGAGCGTGCTCTAGACTGGAGTCTCTTGGCTATGACAGCGTCGTATTTGGAGCTTTTTCTTTGCTTCAAGTACCTCCAAGTGAAGTATGCCACGGGAACGTAGGACAACAAGACCACCTTGATCAACAACTGGTAATGCAGCGAGTCGTCGACGAAGCCTAGACTCAAGAAGGTCAAGATCATCTCAGAAATCAACGCTATGGGGAAGGTGAGATAGAAGTTGTGATACTGCAACCAGAAGAGAAAATGGGGCGTGGAGCCTCTGGCACGGATGCGGAACGCATGGAACGAGAAGTGGATGAAGTTCATGAGGCACCACGATAGTATCAAGAACGAGTAGGAGGTGTGCTTGGCCACCTTTGGATGGGGGAAGATCACTCCGTAGCACACCCATACCATTCTGGACCCGTTGAAGAGGTTCCAGAGATCGTTTACCGAGAGCTGAGTCTTGACCAATGTCTTTTGCATGAAGAAGCTAACCAACGGGATCATGGAAACTACATGGAAGAAGTCAGCAATGCCTCCTGGTAGGAACTTTCTTCCTACCAACGGCAAAAGGATGGCAAACCGTCCGAGACAGCAGAACCAGAGGGTGGCAGCTGCGGTGTTCCAGAAGAACACGAACTTGAGGTGGGTGGGGAGGGTATATCTAGGCATGGTAGGCTAACTTTGGAGGTCGTTCTGTGGGAGATTAGGTGGACAATACTTTATTGGTTGAATCAGGATATGTTTCCTGTCGATTAAGTAATTCTTTGCTGGTAGAATCGGTTATGCTTTCCTGGTCGAATCTATAACTTTGCACTTGTTGAGTCAGTTGCTCTTGAATCTATTCTTTCTGTCGAATCAGATTAGCAAGCAGACCTTGGGGGTTCGAATATGATGGCTGTGTAGACTGCCAGAACGCTGTATTTGGGGACCGTAAGCTGATGGGATAAGCTGTTTGTCGTTTCTTATGATGATTCCAGAGTTCGATTGTACGGATGGGTCAAGTATAATCAGCTGCTTGGAGTAGATAGACAGACTCTTCTGGCGTAGCACTAAACGTTACTATGCTGGTGGCTACTCCAGTGTCGCATCTCGCGACATCCGACACGACAAACGCGTACAACTCATCTATGGCCATCGCTCTAAAACACCAGATATGAAGTTGGCAGCAGTATTGTCAGTGGTGTTCGGCATCCTCGTTGCCGTCCAGGCAGCGTGGAGCAAAGAGGACTACGAAATCTTCAGCTTGAACGACAAAATCCAGCAGGATTTGGGCATCGACACCACGTTCTACTCGTGGTTGGAATTGGCCCAGGGGCCCAGGGCCACCACCAAGGAGATCACCAAGGCGTACAGAAAGAAGTCGCGGCTCCTCCACCCCGACAAGTTCGCTGGAGCTACCCGCAAGGCCAAACGGGACGCCGAGGAACGGTTCCAGCGGTTGTCGTTGGTGGGTAACATCTTGAGAGACCATTCGTTGAGAAAGAGGTACGACTACTTCTATGCCAAGGGCTTTCCCACCTGGAAGGGCACTGGCTACTACTACTCCAAGTACAGACCTGGCTTCGTGTTCACATTGTTCTTGTTGTACTTAATTTTCAGCGGGTTCCACTTCGTGGCATTGAAAATCAACAGATCTCAGGACTACAAGCGTATCGCTGCATTGAAGGAGCAGATCAAGAAGCAGGCATGGGGTGGCTCATTGATCCCTCCCATGGATGGCTCGGACAGAAAGCTTCTGAGCGACAACGGAAAGACCTTCGTTGTCAAGCCTGATGGCTCGGTGTATTTTGTGGATGGTGATAGTGACGACGCTTTGGTTCCTTTGGACGAAAACGACATCAACACTGCGCCAGGCTTCAAGGATTCCTTGCTCTACAAGATCCCCTGTCACCTCTGGAACCTCACTTTGGGGAGATGGGCTGGAAAAATCGATACCAATGTCGTGTTTGAAAACCCCAAAAAGGAACCAGAACCAGAAATCAAAAAAAAGACAAAGAAAACAGCCCAAAGAGGAAAGAAAATCGAGTTGCCAAACGGTAAAGTGGTTTATTCCAGACCTGGAAGGAAGAACTGATCACAATAATCCAGTTTTTGCAGTCATTACTTAAAGATATATTCGCAACTACCATTGCCGATTACAAAGTAAAATATTTATTCGTATACTTTAGAATGCACTATGCAATATTAGCTTAGTAGTGATACCTAGCCTAAATCGTTTAGTCGTTATGCTTTGGAACCCTTCTCAACTCGTTCAGATCGGCCTCCTCATCAGACGAGCTGGACCCTGATAGATTATCCAAAAATTCGTTATCTTGATAACTATCTTGAAATTCATCCTGATCCTCATCCTCTTCGTCTTCGTCTAAGTTGGAGCTTAGGTTTCCACTTGGAGACATGTTCTGGACCCTCACGTCGGGCATATGAATCTCCTCCATATGATCGTCCTCGTCATCACCGTCTCCTTTGTTGTTCCCATGGTCGTTGATAAATAAATAATGGTTGGATTTATCGCCTAAAATTATGGTGTTCTTGTCATTCAGAGGCGTATCAGTGTCGTCAGCATCATTTTCATACGAGTCAAGATCGAGGTACCCAACTGTAGAAGAGTCGAAACCGTAGTCTCTTTCATGCTCCAGTTCCTTAGGGTCTTCGTCTTGTTCACCATCCTCTGGTTCAGCACCCAATACCACGTTATATGTCTCTCTGGTTTTGAGCAATATATCGTTAACAAACCACTCCCAATTGTCTGACAGAATTGCCTTGACTATAATTGGGGAAATTAGATCTGGTTTGTATAAAGATGTGAATTTAACCACCTCCTCACTAATCAATATTATATGTCCCATATACCCAGGCCTAGGACTTTCATCTGTTTTGTATGAGCTAACAATTAGTTCTGTCAAGTCACATTTTTCAGGTTTGAAGAGTTCAACAATCAAGAATGAGTTATAAGAATTCAATTTTCCATTGAAAATTTGCTGAATCAAATCAAACACCACGTTATGAAAAAAGTTGTGCCATGGAAATTTGGTGAACTTGAGAATTATATCAAGTAAAAGACCCAGGTCAATCAACTTTATCTTGAAATAATCACCGATACATGGATTTCCTCTAATGGCCTGATCTCTCTTTTCGCAAACAAATGGATTTTCGGGTGAAATTGTAGGCTCTTCATCTTCTGAGTCATCCTCATAATGATCAGTTTTCAATGCTTCCAATACCTTTGAGTAATCCTCATCTCCGTCCTCAAAATGTATATCATCTAACGATACATCATCCAATCCGTTTGTCACATCATTCACGGACAAATCACCAGACGACTCAAAGATTATGGACTCATTGAGAGCATTCTTTAGTCTCTTATTTTGTTGAGATCTAATATGGTCTCTGATTTTGATAATAGATTTAATTTTTTTTGAATTGAGCAAGATCATATTTGAGCAATGCAACAACTCTGCAATTAACTCAGATATCTTGAATTTAGTGAATCCGAGCTTCTCTTTCGAGGATACCTCCATAGTCACTAATCCTGCTAAACTGACCAAGTGGTCCGAGAAGATACGCAACATTTCACCTAAGTTGATTGGATCTCTAGGGCTTGGTGGGTTCTGTTCGAAATCCTTCAACCATTGAAACATAATATACGAGTTGATTTCTCCTGTTCCGTTGTCGGCGTTGTTCAACATTGAGCTGTAGGAGCCACAGTTCAAATCGTAGTCAGAATTGTTTTTTCTGATAAGCTCTATAATAATACCCACACAATTGTTGATCCCGTGTTTGTTGGATTGGTAGCCATAACTAGTCTCTGGACCCTTGTATAACATGATATCACGAATCATGGTCGTTATAATTTTTGGGGAAACCAACTCTCTAGTCAATTGGTTTGGACCTATATTAGTTTCCAAAACAACTGCCAATGCTGTATTCGATGAAATAGTGATCAAAGCCTTTATGAAATCTGTGGCAGCTGTTTGTTTGAAAAACAATTCATGGTTGGGTATTTTTCTATTTTCGTTTTCAGATGCAAACGTATCATCCAGTTCAGACTCAAACTGGCTGGGATCCGGTTTCAAGATTTCAATTAACTTGGGAATCAAATTTTGCAGGGACAAAGTCTCCAAAATACCGGTTGGAGAGTCAGGCTTGTCAGTTTGAATTATGCGAAGAAAGAAATCCATCAACATAGGAATCTCTATTTTAGCAAGAAAAGTGTCAACCAAGTTTGGTTGTCTTCTGATGAAATTTAGAAGTTCAATGCTGTTGGTGTCCATCAATTGATCCAAGATATGAATCAAGTACGACACAGAGGGGGAGCTTTCCTTGAGGTTAGGCAAGAACAAGATCAGCCATAGTTTGGACATTATGATGGGGGTTTCGATGATTCTGTTCAGTATGATCCAGAGATCAATTGATAATATGTCTGAGGAAGTTTGGATGCATCTGCGTATTTTGTCGTCCTTGCTTTCTACTTCTGCTTTAGGATCCGATTCCCCATCGATTTCTGACTCTGTGGCGGGGGGGTTTTCATGTTCGTCCTCTTCGATTTCGATCTGGTTGTCGAGATTGGAGTCTACTTTGTCTTCCAGCTCACGGATCAACTTCTGCAACGCTTCTTCGTCCTTGAGGCCCTGCTCGTAGAAAAAGTCAACGCTGCTGACGAGGTAGTCGAGGAAGCCATTGAGGATGTGGGGCTGGAGCAAGAGCTCCAACAACTTGACGCCTCTGCCATCCTTGGTGGTGGTGTTCTCGTTAGTGGAGGACGCTAGCGATACCACGTCCGAGTTGGCCGAGCCATTGGCGGCAGTGGCGGTGTCGAGGCTCTGCAGAAACTGGAAGCTGGTCTGCTTGTTATTGAAGTTGCCCTTGATGTTGTGGAACTCGTTGAGGAGCTCCTCTGCCAAAGTGGGGTCGCCGACGAGGTCGTCGACCGTTACGGTCGAGAAGTCTTGCACGGAGTCCAAGAACTTCTGGAGCTGGGTGTTGTTGTTGAGGCCATTGGAGAACGGCCAGAACGACATGGTGGTGGGAAAACGTCCTGGTTTTGGCGGCCTGGCAGTGTCGAGCGGGTCTCTACGGATGGTTGCAGTCTCCGTGTGAACCTCGTGGTGTGTGTTCGGGTGCCTCCAGGTGGAGTTTGATAACAGATATAGCCAGTGCTCAGTGATCGCTATTTGATTTGTTGGTCACATGAAGACGGGTGTGAGGGAGCAGTGGGAGGTCAGGCTGGGACGAGACGGAGAGAACGGAGAGGACGGAGAGGACGGAGAGCGGAGAGGACGGAGAGGTGGAGAAGATGGATGCTACGCAGAGGCTACGGTGGACATGGGCGTGGGATGTTATGGACTAAGCAGCACTAGTAGCCGTCAGAATCTTGGATGTATGATAAGGCACTGAGGCTGGAGATTTGGCGGGAGCTGGCGGGAGCTGGCGGGAGCGTAGTGGCAGTGGCGCGAGCGTAGTGGGGGTGGTGCCTGGCACTCTCGCGAGAGCCTCGGAAGGTTCATGGGGGAACCGTTTTGACCGAACCCAACCGAAGAACGGCCAACAGGGACGCTTTTTGTGTTGTGGAAGCGACGGAAGCTCTATTGCAGACTCCTCTACTTCCGCTTGGGTGTTTATTTGCAGACTCCACTACTTCAGCGTGGAATTGTGTCTTTTTGGCGAATTATTTTCTCGACATTGTACTATTTTTGGATGGTGATTACATCGGCAGCTTCGCTGGTAATTGTAGCCTTGCTAGCCATCATAAGCATAATTACTCCGAACTGGTTATGGGATAGGGCATTAATTCCAGCATTTTACCTGGTTTTTCTTATCTCAATGCCAGGTTGGTTGTAGGGACATTGGGAAGGGTAAAAAAATATTATTGCCAACCGTTGCGAGGCTTACATACTTGGAAGTAATATGTACCTTATTCGTAGAATCTATTCTTTTGTGCATAATTAACGAGTTACGCCTTTAATACGGGATTTTTTATATCTATTAAATGAGCTAGCGATTCCTAAAAAACTAAAATTCTAGGAGTATTAACATAGCGATAAATTCCAAAACTTTCTAGGGGGCCACATGACTATGATTGTATTTTCCTGGTTCGAATCAGACACTCGACCACCATAATACATGGCCAACAGTATACATGAAAATTGCGGCAATTCCGCTGTTTTTGTGGATTCCGCTAACCATCAGTTGGTAGAGCATGCAAAATATCCAACGCCCGCTTGTACTCCCTTTCGTAAAATGCTATCAACTCGGAGGCATACTCTTTGACAATGTTCTTACTGTTGGCTGCAGTATGGCGGATCCACTCATGGATCGTCATGGCCTCTTCGTTTTCTGGCATTGCCGATATGAAGTTGGTCAACTCGCTATCATAATCGTCATGTAGGTCATTTTGAGACTTAGTGAGCTCCTTCAAATCGGCAGATGTGCCTTCCATATTATTAAGAGTCTCCAAAAAGGGAGCTACGGATGAAGGCACCCATTCCAGATTCCGCAGGTCACCAGCTGAAGATCTTATGCTTTTGCTTTCCGAAGCAACTTCCTTACGTGGAGTACTTGCCTCAAGCCCACTAAAGGTGGTATTGCCATCAATTTTGCTACTTCTGTGTGAGGCAATGGAGGATCGAGTATATTGAGCCACTGGTTCCAGCGAGTCGCGACTCTTCAACTGTTCTATGGTGCCAGCACCATTTGGACTGGTCTTTTGCAGTACTACTCCAGGAGAGGACTCCCGAATCAGATGACTGAGCCGGGGTTTAGAAAGCTCACTCCCTTGAAGACTGCGTGGGGATTCTCCCAGAAATGCAGCACTGGACCGGGAGTTTTCATTATTGATGGGCACTGTAATCTCCGGTTCCAGTGGCGGTACGAGTGTGTCATACTCTGATTTTGAGTTCTCGACCTCGGTGGGGCTGTCACTTCTTTGGGAGGAGTCCCTGATATTTTTAGAGTTATCAGCTGGAATCTGCTTAGAAGAAACACTGTTGCTTTCTTCGAAAACGCTTTTTAGCGGAATCTGTATACCGTTCGTGGTGCTATGTTCATGGTCAACACTATCTCCTTTAGTCTGAAAATCATCAGAGTTAGTTTTGGCTGGATGAATTTCAGGATGCAGACTGTAAGTATTGTTTCCACTAGATATATTTAGACTGCTTTTGCTCTCCGTCAGGATTCGATCATCAAGCTGTAGCGAGATCTCATTGTCCAACTGCTCGTTATCATATTCGTCTCCACCATTACTTTCAATGTCCTTTTTAATATCTTCATCCTCTGAACCTGAGGATGGAGATTTTTCATCTGCTGACAATTCTATGGACTTCAGTAGCTCACGGTTTATTTCCTTGATATCCTTGATATATTCTGAATACAAGTTAGTGTCAGATGAGTCTTCTTCCGAAGAAAAGTTCAACACTCTTCTTCTCAGATGGGGAGAGCTTTTTACAGAACTCGCAGCAGATGCAGTGTTTCTTCCAGAAGCCAGTTGGTCAATGTCCTCAGTATCAGACTTCAAGTTCCCTCTCTTGTCATTTTCTTGCACTAACTCTAGTTTCATATCATCCACTTGGTCCATTATGACTCCTTTATCACTGCTCAATATATCTTTTCTTGATTCTGAGCTATTTGTTTTGTTCTTGTTCGTCTCATCTTGTTCGCTTTCACCCTCCTTTTCACCAGGAACAATTCCTAGATCATAAGGATTCTCCTTTTGAAAACTAGTTATATTATCCTGAATGATCTCGTCATCCTGATTTATATCTGTAGAAACTGAAACATCGGCTGGTAACTCATTTTGAATAGGGCTTTCCAATTTTAACTTTACTGGTGGACTTTCTGATCTTTGTAACACAACTGGTACAAATTTCGTTTTCGTTAGGCCAAGCCCATCCAATAAAGGCTTGTGTTTCTTTCTCTTGGAATCAAACAAATCATCGTCAAACGATGCATCGAAAATATTGGGCTTGGCCCGTTTTTTGGTTGGTTTTTTTGCTAAAGAGAAGTTATCCAATTTGATAGGCGAATTTTGTGGTTCCAATTTAATAACGTTATTGATGTCTGCCTTGGGTTTGGCGAGCGGCTGCTCTAACATTGCTGGACTAATATTTTTCTCCCAAAACTCCACATTGTTCTCGCCGTATTCATCATCATTATGGACAGAAGTTTCGAACACCATTGGAGGTGTGGGGGAATGTGACTTTCTGATGAGCCTTAACTTTTTTGATTTTGCTGGTCTGGGTTCGTCTCCATCCTGGGGATCAAGTGTAGACCTCTTACCAAATACTGGTTTGGGTGGCACTTTGATCTCTTTTTCCTCTAAGTCCTTTGTTGGTTTCTTTTTGGTTTCTGGTTGGTGAATTTGGATGGAGTTATTGGCAGTAGACTCAAAACTAGAGTCTGGTACAAATTCAGATTCATATGAAGCATCTGAAGCATCTTCTTCACTATCTCCAGAATCAGATACATCGGTATCTGAATCTTCGGAAATTTCATTTTCCTCATCGTCTGAAGCTTCCTTATCGGAGTTATGCCCTGATATTTCTCCAGAATCTTGCGATTCTTCTGAATCTTGAATTTTATCTGACTCCTGAGAAATACGAGGATTTGGCTCTTCGGTTTTCTTTCTGTCTTTGAAAGTTTTAGAGGCCTTGGAAACAACTATCTCAGTCAATGTTTTACTTTCGTTTAGACTCTCGTCTTCCTGCTTATCTAGGTTTTCTAAGTGGATATCAGCTTCTTCCTTATTATTTGGGCTATCTTCAGGCGCATTGCTGGACAGACTAGACTGCTGCTGGGACAAATCTTCAACTATGTCCGAGTTTTCCTTGCGTGCGTGGTAAATGGGCATGGAAAACTGTGAAGATTTTCGAGAAACACTAGTGGATACTTTTTGAGTCACTCCCATGAATTCGTTAAACAAATCTTCATCTGGCAATTTATTCCAATATGCGTCATTGGGATCTTTGGTGGAACCCACAGCATTAGTTCTTTTCTTTGGTATTTTCAAGTCAGACTCTATCTGAAACGCAGGGGAGTGTGATTTAGCTGGAGGTTTTGGAGAACTATGTTGGAGGGTGTCAACACTATATACAGATGGTGTTGACTTATTGCTATTATCTTGTGATTTGTTCTCAGATAGAGGTATTAAATTATCTGGCTCAATCAACGAATCATTTGAAGTCAAATAGTCCGAATTGTTTCCTATTGGATTTGGTTTTGCTTGATCATCTTCGTACTGGTCAACCGACACATCTGAGTCCACTGCAGAGGGGTCTGGAAGCCTGGAGGCATTATTTGTATCGGGATTCGCATTACTACCATTGAAGCTTTCCTCGTACGCATCCGAGGCGTCAGATTGATCATCGGAATCAGATAAAATTCCCAAGAACATATTCCTGGTTCCACTGGTAATTCTCTTGGGTCTCACTCGTATCTCCTGGGAGTCTGATGGCTCAACAGACTTCTCTCTCATGGAACTATCTCTCAGCGATTCATGTTCCGTATATGATCTGACAAAATAACACTCAGGAAAATTCAATCTGTGTTCATCCACGGGAATATCCTCTTTCTCCCATTGGTCTAATGTACACCCACAATATATGCAAAACACTCTATCCTCACCTGAGCTTAGTGGGGTATATATGAATCCTGCTTTGGCCAAGCTCTTGCTATTAGGAACAAACCCTTTCTTGGTATCCAACGGGAAGACCTTTCCATATGAGCTTAGACGGAATTTCACGGCCTCGGAGTCTAAGGGTGCCAGCAAAATCGACAACGGCTCGTTCTTCCAGAAGTCGTTCCGATCTTCCCACGAGGAGTACTGTTCCCTGGCTCTAGCTGATTTCATTACTACCGCCAAGAGGCAGGTCTCGTGCTTTTGAAAGTGTTTTGTAGTGATGGCTGTAATATCGGCCTTCTTGCTGACGGTTTCAGGTTTATGGCAGAACGAACACAATATACGGTTAGGGTTTGACTTCACTGGCGAGTAGTAGAAGCCCGATTCCACCAAATCTGCCACCAAAGCAGGATTGTTATAGTCTGACCAGCTGAATTCCTTGTCACTGTTGGGAATGCTGACAGGAGTCTCGAAGGACTGGAGCCTGTTCTCCTTGAACTTCATGGTTTCTTTCTTTGGAGGTCTCATTGGGCAAACATTGTCTTGAATGAGTCAGCCTTGAAGGGGAAATGAGTGTAGTGGTGACTAGAAGGGTGGTGGGAGCGAGTCGTTGCAGAATTTGGTGCCAGGTCCCCCGGTCTGGTATTCAATGGAGAGACAAGATGAGTTGATGGTGTGTTTATGATCTGACGCGGTGCGGGCACGATGGATAGCGGGGTGGCAGGAGGAGATGCTCGCTAGCGGAAGAGGCGGTGGTGGCACGGGGAGGATTTCGGCGCGGGAGGTGGAAAATCTCTCGGGGGCGTAGCGACAGTTGCTGCGAACTCGTGGCAGGACACTCTCGATCTGGCACACTCTAGCGGCGGGGTTCGCGGTGGAGTCGCTGGCTACACATTCTATCTAGATGAAATAAATTGAATCAAGATTACTAGAGAATTAAATTTTATACTGACCGGTGGCTCAGAAACTGTGTCCAACCAACAACTGGATGGTTCTTAAAGCCTCGTACTTCAATTCGTTGTCACCGTTGTTATCGTCTAAGAACTGCATGATCAATAACTTGTATTGTCCGCCCTTTTCAGTGTTAATGAAGTTGATCAAGTCTTGGCCTATGTTCTTGATCAAGAATTGGAGATCATTCAACAAAATCACTCTGGTCGATGCACTGTTGTATTCGTCAGAGGACAAGACTTCGAAGATCTTCTTGACCAATTTGAACGAGGAGTCTTTGAATTTTCCAGAGTTCTCAAACCAGAAATCGCTGGACTTGTGGGTTGGAGATGACCAGCTGATCAAGTTGGGGTTTTCCAATTCGGTCAAGTATTCGTCCAAGGACGTCAATCTAGTCTTGACGATCTCGTTCAAGTTGTCGGATAAGTAAGCCAAGTCGGACGAAAGTTCTGCATCACCACCATTTGAAGCAAACTTTCTTTCCTTCAAAAGGTTGATGGCAGCCAAGCCATCGTGGAACAACAATAATTTGATGGTCTTGAATTGTTCCGATTCAGAGGTAGTGACAGAAATAAAGTTCTTCAAAATGCCAACCGAGATTCTAACAATCTTCAACTTGATAGAGTCCTTGGCGATAATGAGCAAACTTCCAATCAAATCTGGGAAGTGGTGCACCAATGCCTTGTTGATTGGCCCACTGAAGGACAACACCCAAGTGGTCAATAACAAGTTGTAGGATAACTGTAAGCCAGAGGAGTTTGGGCTTTTAGCCAGAAGGGTGATTAACTCGTTGATAGGCTTGTAGTGAGAAACTAAACTAGACTTTTCAAAGATGGCCTTGTATGTCTTCGAAATCAATAATTCGAGCAACAATTGAATACCGATGAATTGGTAGTTTGTTTCCTTGTTGGAGAGAAAATGGGAAGAAGACAACACATCGAATATCTTGATGATCACTTCTCTATCAACCTTTGAGGCCACGTCGGTCTTGCTAGCCTTGGAAAGTAAAATCACCAAGTTGTATAAGGATAAGGATTTGATGATGTTGTCCTTGCTTTCCAAGTGCTTCAAGAATGGATCGTATGGCAATGAACTGTCAACCAGTGATAACTTCAATAAGGAGTCAATGAATTCTTGTCCTGGCAAGTTTAACAAGGTGTCGTTGATCAAGGTCAAGACGTTTTTCAACACGTCATCCTTTTCATTAACTTCCAATTTATTCAAAACATTCAAAATGGTGTTGGTATACAAATCTAATTGGGATAAGATGGTGGACTTCTTGTTTTCAGGGGATTGTTTTTCCAAGATCTTGATGTGGTTGGCATCGTCTTCGGAGATGACGCCGGATCTGGACAAACCTTCCCATGGGATGATTCTTTCTCTGATGATCTTTTTCGAATCGGACAAAAATCCACTATCGATGATAAGAGGAGTCTATGGTTAGTATCAAGAATATGGAGGCTCGTCAAAAGAGCAATCCGTTTCAGGCAAGTCCCAACAAAGCCAATGGCTTGACTATTACCATCACGTACTAAGCTTGATTGGCTTTGGAACGTCATCTTAGGCTTATCTCGTAGCCGCTAACCTTTATTCGTCCACTCAACTTATAGGAATACTGGCCACAATTCGAGGGCTGCTCGCACGAGACTGGCGTTGGAAGCACCATCTATGATTGCCGGGTCAAGTACTTACATAATCCGATGACATCTTGGATGGATGTGTTAGTCTAGTGTATCAGAAAGGCACTCAGACTCAAGTTGAACAGAAGATAAATTGGAGGATGAAGATTGTTGCGCGCACGACAAGATTAGGTCAGAAGTGGGTAAATGAGTAAAAGGACTACTGAAGCGCTAAGGGTACTTGGTGGGCAACTACAGCTGCTAAGTGTGGTAGGGTAGGCCATGGTGTAATTTGGTAGTTTTTGGTGGAGTCTGTGACATTTCAAAGGCATCCGTATCCGCTAAAAATTTAAAAAATAACTGCCGGTCCCAGGAATCGAACCTGGGTTTGTTCGGCCACAACGAACTGTACTAACCACTATACGAGACCGGCTGTTTCTTGATTGAGGAAAATACTATAATATAATACCATGTCAGCTGGGTATAAAAATATTGCTGGAAACACGTTGCTATTACTACGTATAGACTTTATCTTATTGTTAAAACATCTGATAGGAAATTGCACTCAAAAAAAATTCATTTTGAATGAAGTCCTTTCCTCAACATCTTCAAGGGCGAACCTGCTACATCGGAAATATACACCATCCTAAGATCGTACCATGATACACATGAGCCATCCAACATCGTTACCCGCATGTCAGACCCCTCAGGGACGCACATAGCCACTACAACCCATGGTATCCTAAATATAGCGACAAGCTACATGGCGGAATTATTTCAAGAAGTAACCCCTCCCCCCAAGGATCAAACTCTCGAATATTTGCGGAAGCACACATGGCGCCTCACGCAAGAACAACGAGAAGCCTTGGAAAATGGAATTACTTTAGAAGAACTAACCGCGGCTCTCGAGAAGGCACCAAAGAACTCCGCACCAGGAGTAGACGGTATATCATATGAATTCCTAAAAGAAACTTGGGAGGTATCTGGCCCACTATTGAAAACGGCCGCAAACAGACTCATCTCCAAAGGGGAACTCCCCCAATCGCTTGCCACCAATTTGATCACACTCATACCCAAGAGAAACAAGCACCAGTCTTTCAACGTCAAGGATTACCGGCCAATTTCGTTGATCCCCAGTGGACTCAAACTAATTTCGTCAATCCTCAACCAACGTATTCTAAAATACGCGGACCATCTCATCGACTTACGTCAAAAAGGGTTCTTGCCCCACAGACACATGAATGAGAATATTGCTCAATTCCGTCAGGTGGTTGACTTCATTAAGGAGCACAGGCAAGATGAAACCCCAGCCATCCTCCTACTAGACTTGGAGAAAGCGTTTGATAGAGTCTCACCATACTTTCTAGAGGAAGTATTGATAGCCTCCAACTTCGGTCCGCTCATAAGACGTGCGATCCGACTGATCACTTTCAAACAGCAAGCCCAATTGTACATCAATAAGTGCTTTGGAGAGAAATTCCCATTGAAGGTGGGGACCCGACAAGGAAATCCCATTTCCCCAGTCCTATTCATACTCACCTTGGAACCTTTTCTTAGCCACATACGCCAGAGTATTCATGGACTCCGCTTCTCTAACAGCTACCTTCATGGAGTCAGGCTAAACTACTCTGCCTACGCAGACGACATAGCCTTATTCATCGAAGAATCGTTAGACTCCCAGATAATCGCGGACGAACTCCTCAAATACCAACAAGTGTCTAACAGCAAGTTTAATCAAGATAAATCCCACATCTATATAAGAGGTTCACCCACAAACGAGGAAGACGAAGAAGCAGAAGGGACAGAGGAAGAGGTACGCCATCCAATCCTCAACTTCCCCGTCAAGAAACTCGCGGCGTCCTCCATTGAGTACTTAGGCTTCAAGCCTATGAACCTCAATTGGACTCATGAGATCTACAAACTCATGCACCTCATGAAAACGCGCTTGATAACGGAACTCCCGGCCACGCTCCGAGCACAAGCGATCAATTCATACTGGTTCTCCAAGCTCTACTTTAGAGACCTACACTCACCAATGCCCAGAGCGGAGTTACAACAGTTAACTCAAAAAATTAGCTGGCTCTTCCCAGGTATTGGCAAGGAAAAAGTCTTCGGATTAAAGGAGAATGGAGGTTACGGAGTGCTCGACATCGACTTGCAACTCAAAGCCAGAAGGGCTTTATACATATACAACACCCTCACCGACACTAAGCACATACACTATGCTATCCTCAGAGGAAAATTACAGAGTATCACCCCGGGTAGNCACGGATGGTTTTGCTTCCTCATGGGAGACAACTATTCCAGAACATTCAGGGTGAAAGAACTCTGTCAACACGTAGATCTCACGGAAGCGGAAAGAGAATACTTGAAGGCATGGTTCTCGTTGANCACCATACGCGGGGACGTCCAAGCGTTCCCAGAGATGTGGGCCAGCAAAGAAGTGGTAGAAGAATCCATACAAAGAGGATGTCTAAAACTAGAAGGATTCCTTGACAACATCCTAGG